TTTATGTGTGTTTGTATGTATGCATGCATGTATGTATGTATGTACGTATGTACGGATGTACGTATGTACGTATGTGCGTATGTACGTATGTACGTATGTATGTATGTATGTATGTATGTATGTATGTATGTATGTGTGTATGTGTATATATACTTCATAACATACTACATTAATCTGTAAACATCATGTAATGTCATAAATTATCTTATTACATAATATACGATAACAAACTATAACATAATGTTGCTTCATAGTGTCTTTTATAACATGTATCTTGTTTCAGGTATTTTATTTTATCAGTTTTCTCGTACAAAGAAAATGCTACTCTATCTATACAAAGCTATATATATGTGTGTGTATATATATATATATACTATGCTCTAGTACATTTTTAGGATGTTATATCGCATGATATGGCATTTTGTGATGTTGCACTATACGATTCGATACCATATGATATCACGATATATTATTTATAGTGCGTTATATAGCATTATATGATATGAAGTTGCCGTATAGTATATGAAATTTTTATGTCATATTATACAACCTTTCTTATAATATGTTTTGTTGCGCTAGATAATATCATAGTTTATTATGTTAGAGTTAGAGTTAGCGTAACTTAGCATTAATGTTAATTTAATCGTTCACATTTTAATATATTGTAGTATCATGTAGTGTCATATAACATCATCTAATATAAGTCGTATCGTATATTATCAAAATATAATGCTATTTCATGAACTCATATACAGTTGTTTTACAGTTGTGTGTATATATATATATGTACCTATATATGGTATATTATAAGATAATAGACGAAGAAAAATATGTTTATCATGCATGTTAAAACATAGTTCAATGCAACAGAATATATATATATGTATATATATATATATATATAAGTGTTCAATATGTTCTATGTAATGTGCTGTGTATAATATATCATATTTAATATTATATATGTAGGATATGATATAATTCTCAATTTAATATAGAAACAAAACACGCATATATATATATATATGTTCTAATCTTATATACTATGATATAGCAAACCATATAATATACTATTTCGTTTTAATACACAGTATGATCTATTATGATATTTTGATCGACTGTAATATAATATAGAGTGTCGCCTATGATCCGACTTTTGTTGCCCCGGTCCTGCAAGTATATAGCGCTCAGCGGAAGAGCTGAGTTGAAAACGTGTATCAGGGAAGGCATAAACTCCAAACCGCTAGCCTAAACTTCTAAACCTGAAGCGGCCACCTCAAACGGGTTTTTGGATTGTATGAGTTATAGGATTGAAATTCCGGGATTTTGGGGCTGTCTTGCACCATTGATGAGCGTGAGGATGAACCTCCAGCCTAAACTCATCCGTCCTACCCTTGAGCCCAAAGCCTGATCCCTACGGAGCTTTCAAGAAATCCACAAACCCCAAAACCAAACTTAGGAGGGTCGCCGTCGTCATACCCAGATGAACACGGGCTCTGGGGCGCGGTCTCCTGGTACGCACTTGGTTTAGGAAGTACATGGACTTTGACTCTGGGTTTGCAAGGAGGACGTGATTCTGACAGCCGGGTCATAACGCCATAACGATTACGTGTTTGAGGCTGTATAGGGATATTGCCGGAACTCTGATGTGGCATCCTTGCATGAAATTGAGGGCTTCAGGCTTTCGGCGTTAAGTGATGTGTGTTTCGAAAAGGGGCATGATTCCCCCGTTCCGTCGTGGCAGGGCAGACTATGCATGACGCTTCCCAGCTTGACAAGCTAGAGGATGGCCTTTGAGGGTTTGAGGTTCAGGGTGACACCTTCAGACTCCGTGCCGGGCATGAGCACTATAGGCTATACCATGTACCAAGGCGACAGAGCGGACTTAGACATCGTATGTGTTGTTGTTTGCATAGCTGGACTGGAGAACCTCGCCTTCAAGGTATACTAACATGAAACATGTTTCCAATTCTTCGGGTCAGGTTCCAGTATATGAAAAATCGTGACACATGCAGAATCAAGATGCTCATTGCTAGCTGTGCTTCGTATGTCACAGAGGCGCGTGTATGGCCGGGCTGGAAGCAACGCGGACAAGGTCTGCATTGACGGTGGGAAGCTTGATCCGCACTATTCGATAGGGTCAACTTCAGGCGACGGACTCCATCCCTGCCCGTCCCCCACAACGAAAGCGCCAACGCCACAGCTACCCTCCAGACTTTGGACTCAAATCTCCAAGAGCCACAGGTCTATAGGATCTGAACTAATTACTTCAATGCAAATGGCATGACGTCATTTCGGCAACAGTCGAGTGACAGCAGTAGTAGTAGTAGTAGTAGTAGCAGCAGCAGCAGCAGTAGTGGTCGTCGTAGTAGTCGTAGTAGTAATAGCATTAGTAGTAGTAGTAGTAGTAGTAGCAGTAGTAGTAGTAGTAGCAGCAGGAGTAGTAGTAGTAGTAGTCGTCGTCGTCGTCGTTGTCGGAGTAGTAGTAGTAGTAGTAGTAGTAGTAGTAGTAGTAACTAGTAGTCGTCGTCGTAGTAGTAGTAGTAGTGGTAGTAGCTGTAGTCGTCGTCGTGGTGGTAGTAGTAGAAGACGAAGCAGTAGCAGTTGTCGTCGTAGTAGTATAGTCCCAGCAGCAGTAGTAGTAGTAGTAGCAGCAGTAGGAGCAGCAGAATGAGGAACTGCCGTATCAGCATGAAGAAGAAGGTCGCAGTCGTAATCGACCCATGTGTTTCGTCCAGGTACTGCCGCGGCAACACGAACTCGGCCCCTTTGAAATCTTAAGGTGTGTTTCGGTTTGAGCATTTGTGGTGCATGGCTGCGGATCAACACGGTCAAGTGCTCAGATGGAGCTTGGCATTTACGGGCTTCGTGTCCGTGGAACTCAGGGTGATGCTCAATTCTGATGTTTGTGCTAGGGATCAGAAGTTGTCGCTTTGTTGCTCGGGGTTCTGGCCAGCTCTAGCCCTCAGACCTCGTTGCATCCGAAATTCTATGTCTTTCCTTTCCTTGTCATCATGATCCCAACACCCCAGAACCCGACATCCTCATCCCCACCAGGCCGAAAATCAATCTCCGGCCTCCAGTTCCGCAATCCCGCAATCCGCAGACGCCAAACTTCCTTGAGCCCCATGCAAGTCTTACCAACCGAAACCCTAGGCCCCAGACCTAGCCATGACTCCCTACCACGAGGCCCCGAATCCACAGGAATCTGTGCATCATCCTAAAGCCAGAAGCCTTTAACTCCTACAGCAGAAATCGTAAATATTTTGTGGCAAACGCTGCAGAACGCATTCGACCACACCTGCGGGGCGAACGCTCTCCTCGCGGGATTCAAGGAGTCTTGGAGAGTTGAGGATTCAAGCTCGGTTTTCAGAGGGTGTAAGATGCCACCACAATGAATTGTTCGGGGTTGTAGGTTTGGTTTGGGGTTTAGGGTTTTGGGTTTAGGTCTGTTGGTTGTGGTGGTGGGTTAGGGATTTGGCGCCTGGTTCCGCAAGCTGGTAAAGCCCAAGCCGTCATTCTTCTTGGGCTACGTTTCGACCCTACTTACTGGGCAGGGGCTCTCGTGCAGCAGAATCCAGACCACCGACTTTGCTACTTTCCGGCCTTTCTTCTTCTGCTTGCCTTCCAGGGCTACGGTCTGTCGGATGAATTCTGCGCTGCAGTGGGGGAACGTAGGACCTGTACTCAAAGGCCCGAATCTGGCTTCAGGCCCATTCAAACCCGTAGGCCCGGGAGGTTGAAGAGACGCCCGCACTGCTAGTAGTCTTGCGGCTCCTCTGCTTCGAGGCTTAATTGTTCACAGTTGAATCTTGAGGCTTCTTGGGGCCAGGACCATTGAGTGCTGCTGGTGATTTCAGAGGGCAGTCTTGTCAAGGTCGGAATCTCGCTGCAACTGCATTTACGGCCTTGAGCTTCAGTTTGGTGCTCTGATCCCTACATACGAGGGCCGCTACACCCCAAATCCGCCCGGTGTTAGAAGTGCATAAGGATCCGCTGACCAGTGTTGTTCAGACACTTGGGATTACGGTGAGTTTAGGCTGTGGCTTTTGAGTTCAAGGCCGTTTAGGGCGGATGGTTTCGGCCCCCTGACCTCCTAACTGGAGTCCACCGTAGCTGAGCTTCTGAACCCGAAACGCCCTTGAAACGAGGAGTACGAGCGCCGCAGGAGCATTCGCTTCATGTGCAGCTATGCCGCACCTGACAAGGGCTCAACTCAGAAACCCCTATCACTAAAACCACCTTTAACTTTAGAACCTAATATCCCCGGGGGCTTAGGGTTCGTTAGGGCTGTCAGAGCTCGGGTTTAGGGTATCGGGTTTAGGCATTGCTTCCCGGATCGTGTGTTTGGTTGAGTTCAGGTGCGCAGCCTGAAGTTGGTAATTCCAAAGGTGGAAGAATCAGGAATTTAGGGCGTTTGAGATCTGTGGCCTCGACATGTCCCCGATACGCCAAAATCAGTGGTTTGCTAGAAGCAGAACTACTGCGCCAGTTCAAGTGTTCAAGTATTCGAACGGTACACTCAAGCACCGTGTTTCCAAAGCCACGTGATATAGCCGGCCTATTAAATAGGAATACAGAGAGGGAATCGACCTTGACAGGGTTCCTTTCCAGGTACCTTAAGGCGTCAGTGTATAATTATACTGCATGGACGCTCTGTGAAGTTCAAACAACAACATGAATTGGCCATTCGGCACTCGCTCAGAGCTTACCAACAGTTTCCCGAATCCTGAGGATGTGCTGGAGATGTTTATTTGACAGGGTCTCACACATGCTTCTTCCTAGCACATGCACACAGACCTCGGTTCATTGTCTTGACACACCCCGTGTACTGAGCAGTCGAGGTGGGGCTGTTCCACGTGCCCTGTGGGAGGTCGTGACAATAGATACTTGTATTTGCAACTGGACCAGGATGTAGAAGAACCCCAAGGTCGTGACGTACGGCCGGTTGTGAAAGCTTTCGACTGCATCGATGGCGGGTGCAGGCCGATCCACCACTTCGCGAAACTCAAGTTCAAAACTGCCGTAGGTGATTCGAACAGGGTTGGTGGCATTGTATGCTACACACGGACTTTGCATGTTCACATCTTCTTAATTACTCAGACTCTGATCCTTGTTCCGATAGAGTGTACAATAGGCCCGAAACCTTTCCCGTAGCAAAATCCGGTAACGGGTCGCTGGTACCGGTCTGCCAGGTCGTAGTATGGAAGGTGAGGGGTACACGGTGAGGATGCACGGAGTTTGATGTTTTACACTGAGACAGCACGATTTTACAATTCTTTTCTTGGTCGTGGCATCTCCATTGCATTGATTCGGGTTTAGCGTATACCTATCTTCGTTCCTGCCTAAACGATTGTCGAGATGGCAGTGCGTCTCCCCTACCCACACTTCTATCTTACTTATCCTCACACATGTTTCCTTGCGGCTTTTCTAGAGTGCCTACAAGCTCTCCAAGCTGTCGCACCAATCCTTAAGCCCTACAACATTCACCGACAGCTGCTGTTGAATCTTCAGCTGTAGACGCCGGACACCCTTGAACCTTCAGAGTTCATCCCATCCACAGTTGGGGCTAGTAGCCCCATACCCCGAAGTTGTAAAAAGCGTTTAAACGCGTATACCCTAACCCTTAAACCCCAAGCCTGCAGCTGTCTAAACCTAAACCACTGCTTTCGCAGGGCGAAGTGTGCAAATGACAACTGCAAGATCAAGCCCTTCTGCGTGAAAGCCCACGTTAACTCTGCGCCTCGGTGTATATATATATATATATATATCCTCTAGGTGCGTTAAAGATCTGAGCTGGCTGAAAAGTTTTCGGGTTCAGGAGCTTGGGGGTTTAGAGAGTCCGAGGCGAGGGTTCGGGGGTTGAGGGTGTGTTGTTTCAGCTAGGCTCGTTTGGGTGCGCCCACACCAAGATGACGGGATTGAATATGCACATGCAGTCGACAAGCTGTATGTTCCCTTTCGGAAAATGCAGCTACATAGCCCCATTCCAATCCCAGATAGACCGTGTTTTCTGGCCAAATAGGTTATGTGTAGCCTCCATCTTGAGAAGCACGGGGGATCCCCGAGCCCTCGAGCCCCAACTAAACCAAAGGCATCTTACGAAATTGTTCCCACAAGTGTTGCGTTGCACACAAAACAGGGAGCCTTCTGAAAGCTCGGAATGGCTCCGTCGGCCCAGCGGAGCTGATTGGTTGGGTGTTTCAGAAGCGGGGCTGATAGCTATCTTGAAGCCTCATAGACTCCTGGACACCGAAGCCTGAGTCTTAAATGCGTATCCTAAAGCCGCAAGACACGGAAGCCTTCAACTCTGGGCCCTCTGACCTGGCTTCCCTTATTTCGCTGTTCTACGAGCAGACAGTCTCTTCGCGGCTGCAGGCGCAAGAAAGGCTGTCTAAAAAACTATTACACTCTCGCCGGTACTCTTCAGGATCGCCTTGAAACCCCGAACATATGCTATATGCTTTGACCCCCAGAAACAAAAAATGTGTGAACATCTGTCAGATTGGGACATGTGTAGCGGAGAGCCCGAGACCCCCGAAGCCCCTTCAATCTCCGCAACTGCAAACTCAAAGCTTACAATTTAAAACCCTATCCTGCACCAAACAGTTCCTGGCTTCGACCTTTGGTGTTTTGGTATCTCGGGTCGGGTTTGGGCGGTCAGGGCCGCAAAGATCGAAACCTCGAAGACCTAACGAAGGTGTCACTACCCTAAACTCCCAAACAAAACCGTGAAGCCCGGCCTGCAACGCAAACTCTGAGTATCATCCCTGAATATCAAGTGGATGAAACTCCAAACTCACTAACACCGCGAACCCTGCAGCCCTAAATCCTCGAAAGCCTGATGCTCAAACGCCTCAGAACTTGAATCCCGAAGGCCCCCCCTGAAACTCACAACGGGATCAGGGTGTCGTGCTTAGTATCAACGAAGCCTGCCTACCTTAACTTCCAAGCAAGGGCCAGACAAGCCAACAAAGCCATGGAGAATCCCCGGAACGACCCAACAACAGCCTTCCCAAGCCCCTGTAACCCTGAACCCCGGGAAAAACGTTCAATCAAACCTAAAAACTTGGCCGCAAAGCCCAGGTGGAGAGCGGAGCCGAGGCCACGTCTACGGGTGGAGGCGCCTGGTCCGGCTGGTCTACATGCCCTTCGCGCCCCTTAGTCTACAAAGAGCCGTGGGGTGCCAAGCTTCAAGCTTACACAGAGAATGGCCGTATTTTGCGGTTTGGGGTTCGTAGGATTTAGCTTTGTTTGGGAGTTTGGGCTTGAGGTTGAATGTTGATTTTTAGGGGGTTGCTGCAACACCAAACTTTCACCGCTTTCTGAGTTCGTCGAGTTACGCTGAATCTCAGGGCTCAGCTTCATGTCCTTGTGGCTCTTCTAGGCTCGAGAAGCAACTTCTAAATTTGGTATTCTGGCAGCTTAGGGAATGTAGGGGGTGGGGCTTCTCGGGTTTCATGTTCCAGAGGCGGTCAAATTTCACGCATATGTTCAGAGATATGACCGACCCTGCAAATCTACAACAGGCTAATGCCTCCAGCCTAAGCCAAACAATGAAGCGTAAACCACGGACCTGGCACTTTGACTCTAGTAGAGGGCTCGGAGTAGTTCTAACAGTATTTCCTTATTCTCCCGAAATAAATATGTTAGAAGTACCTTTTCCAACGATTCAGGCCCATTAGGTCATCCCAGGCTATTCGGCGGTGGGGCTCCGATACATGGAGCTGCTGGGGAGCGTGGTTGATGCCGTGGCCCGGCAAGACCTGCTTCGGATGAACGGTTCCGGCTCGATTCTTCAGGCTTTACGGTTTTAGGGCGTGTAGGGTTGCTCTCTGCATTTTACTGTGCCGAACTCCGAACCCTGCACCTATGAATGACTTTTTTCCTGAAATCTTGAAAACAAGTCCATAGCTTTGACAGGCCTGAGCCCTTGTTTGCTACACGGCATTCGCTTGATTGCCAAACTGTTGCACTCAGACCAGGATCAAGCTCTTCATCTTGCCACAAATCGTCCTGCTCACATGTACAGTCACTGCACCCGATTCCCGAGGTCGCTTTTGTAGGGTTGATGTGTTTTCGTCGTTGGGAGCACTTCCTGGGCATCGCAATGTCTTCGCAAGGACGTGTCAAGCTTGGATGGTCTGGAGTGCATCGACAATAAATGCTGCTTGGATCTGTGTAAGCAGCGACAAGAACTGCAATACACGAGCCAACAGCACCGTCAGTTTCATTGCCATTGTCTGTTTTGTGTGATCGGAACCAGCTGTGCAGCAAGGGCAGCATCCGGCTTTCGAAATCATCGTCACCAACAGCAACAACAACAATAATAAACGTGTGAATGCCTGGACAAGGCCAGGATGACCAAGTGCGGCTCTGCATTTCGCCAAAATCCTTGGAACCCACATAGACGCGCACACACACACAGGCAGGCAGGCAGG